ACGGCCGGAAGTGGTTCGCAATTCCTTACCCAATGCAAGCGGAACTCGACAGTGCAAAGCCAAACGCAGCAAATTGTCGCGAAAGGAGGCTGCCATATGTTGCAAGGGTTCGATTGGTTCACGCTGAAGGCACGCGAAGATCAGCTCATCATAGGGGGAAACGAAGCTAATTCACGCTGAAGCGAAAAACAATGATCCAAACAAAACGTAGAGCCAGCCCATCCTGAGCCTGAGAATGCTTGACCTAGAGTGGTTGTCTTGGTTTTGCCCAACTTGGCCTAGAACGGAACTATGCCCAACAATCGCACTGCCTTGAAATGCAGTAAGCTTACTAATGGTTTCTGCGCAGCATGTCAGGCCTTCGGGTCAGTATGGGACGACCGTCATCGGCTGCTTCTCATGCAGCGCTTGCGCACCCGATTTTCCACAGCCGCCAGGCTTCAGAGAAGCTCAGGCACAGGCATGGGAACTGAATTTGGTGAGATCAAGCTTGATGCTGACACGCTTGTTGGCTCTTTGTTTCTGGGTTCCGAGGTTGGCTATGACCCGCAGGACATTCCAGATCTTTTTTGTGACTCGGCATCGCGATGCCCAGGGCGGACCTGGCTTTCAAGTTGGAAGTAAGAGAGAGGGTGACGAGCAAAACACTTGCAGCCCCTTGACTTCCTTCGAGCTGAGGTAGTTACGATGAAAACGGCGACGGTGAGCTCTCCATGGATGAGTTCAGCCTCTTGGTTGCTGATTTCTTCTTGGGTGGGCTCCCAGGCGAAGGCTGGTTCGATGGCCTAAGGAAGGGAAGTGGATCCCAAGGATGTCGTGCAGCTTCCTTCATCATCCCCCGAGAAAGGTTAACCATCGATCCTGTGTTTGTCCAAATTGCCATTTGCAAGCCTCAAGCCGCTTCAAGTGCAACAGAAGGGGAAAGTGGAGGCATCTTCTTAGGGCACCCAGCCCCACCTCTGAGGGCGGATGCTGCAGCAGCCACCTGGCTGATAGTCGGGAAGGAGTAGCTGCTGGTGAACCGTCCCATGGGCCTGTGTTTGGTGGTAAGGGGCAAGGCGAAGGTAAGGGTGCACATTCATGGCCCATTTGTGTTGCGTGCGTGCAGATGACAGAGGTGATTTGAGTTGTGCTGAAGTGGATTGCCTTAGCGCCGGCTACCATTGCTCACCGCCCAACAAGGCTCGAGGTGGAAGCGAAGGAGGACAAAGCGCAGGATGTGTTTGCCGCCTTTGACAATGATGGTAGTGGAGCACACGACTTAGAAGAGCTTGCGAGAGCGACTGAGCATTTCTTGGGATGATGAGTGCCATCCTGCGAGACAGAAACTCAGGCAATTGATGACTCGGAGTTCATCAAAACGCTTTTTCCAACAGCGTTCAAGAGCATCTACGGCCAAGAAGAGAAAGATAATGAAGAGAATGGAGGAAATGAACGGACTGAAGGGAATGAAGAGAACAAGGAGGACCTGTCACGGGCCATTCTGTTTCCAGAGCGTTGCCAGTTCGTAGCAGGTAAACAAGTTAGCATTTGCTGAGCGCCTTACAGGTAGGGATATGGATTGCGGCAGACCTGTGCAAGGTGCAATCTTTTGGCATTTTACTCACTTTCCCACCTCTTGGCTCCAGGAAGAAGATCCAAGGTGTCATTCGACAATGCTGGAGTTCCAGGAGAGTGGAGAAAATCCGGTGAGCGTCTAGCACGACTTCAAGGCGTAAATGCCCGCCCTGTTTGCTTTTTGGATGGCCCTTTTTTGGTTCTAATTGGCAGGTAAGGATGATTTTTGCTCACATTCAAGGCAAAACAAGGGTGCACGACCTCTGGAGGCTCGTGCGTTTAGTGCAATTCGGCTTGGAAGTTGCCTCCACGAACTCGCCCGAGCGCGCGAACCGGCCAGCATGCACCAGCATATGTCGTCAGACTTGAGTGTTACACAGATACACCCACCTTGTCCACAAATTAGGATTATTAAAGCCATTCTGCCTCAAATGGGAAGAAGCAAGCCGATTCATCCAAAGCCAACGCCGCCAGGCATGTTCGCAGTGCTGAGCGGATGCACTTGAGCAGGCGTGCCTACCACTTGGCAGACATGTGCGCAGTGCTGTGGGTGCATGTCAGCGGCTGTGCTTACCACTTACTTGCCAAACGCGTGTGCAGTGTTGAGCGGGTGCACGTGACCGGGTAGTGCTGGGCAGGTGTGTGTGTGTGTTTGCAGTGCTGAGCGGGTGCATGTGAGCGAGTGTTACGTCTTGGCAGGCATGTGTGCAGTGCTGAGCGGGCGCGTTTGAGAGGATGCTTACCACTTGGCACGCGTGCGTGCAAAGCCGAGCGGGCGCGCGTGAGCGGGTGTGCTGGGCGCTTGGCAGGCATGCGTGCAGTGCTAAGCGGGTGCACACGAGCGAGCGTGCTTTCCGCTTGGCAGGTGTCGGCGCGGTGCGGAGCGGGCGTGCGTTCCGAGCTTGAAAAGCTGACGGGGTGATACCCGAAACAAGGACACACGAAAGCGTAACTTTGGCATGCCACACTTCAGGGCCTCAATCCAATTCCCTCGTTTCTCTCACGATGTCAGCTCATTTCTCGCTAGTCGGTTTTCATTGGTTTTATGGTATTTTGAGCTATCCATCCACCCACCCACCCACCTACCCATCCGTTGCTTATTTCAATATGCGTGCATGGCCTGTTGCTTCGCTGTCGCCCGGCTTTTCCCGGGCTTTGGAGGAGTCAGTTTGAAACGTTTCAAGGTTCCCTGGAATCCCTGTTTTCTTCAACGATCGCCTCTTTGGCGCTAGTCAGCGCCGATGTTTGGGAGCGGAAATGCCGAGTGAATTGGCTGGCAGTCAGGTACCCCGAAAACCCCCTACCCTCGACTCAAAGCAATAAACCTAAGCCTACACACCCTAAACAAAAACACCAGAACAACCCAAGACCCTAAGAACCCTAAACTTAAGCCCTAAAAACCCGAAACCTAAAACGTACAAAGTCTAAACCCTAAACACCCGAAACCTTAACCTTGAAAACCCGAAAAACCAGAACTGACACCCTACACACGCTAACCCCAAACACCCTGGCCTAAACCATAAAACCCTAAGCTTAAACCCTAAAATCCGAAAACCTAAACCCTCAAAACCCGAAACCTTAAAAACCCGAATCCCTAAACCCTAAAAACTCTAAACCCTAGAAACCCTGAACCCTCAACCCACAAACTCCAAACCCTACTAAAGCCCCAAGACTCAAGCCCTAAAAACCCTAAACTTGAACCCACAAAAACCGTAAACCCTAAAAATCCGAAACCTAAACCCTAAACACCCTAAACCTAAACTCTAAAATCCTACACCCTTAAAACCTGAAGCTCGAAACCTTAAAAACCAAAAACCCTAAAAACCCGAACCAATAAACACCCTGAGCCTAAACCCAACAACCACTAAAGTCCCTCAACCTTAAACACACTCGTTTCTCACAAGTCCAACCTGGCTTTTAACGTGGAAATGCATGCACATTTGACTTGTGAGAAATGAGTGTACTTGTGAGACATGAGGGAACCCACATGTGAGAAATACGGGCTTCGCCCATTGCACTATTTGGTGTCACTGGTATTGCAGTGGAAATGTTCTGAGCTGTCTGGTCCATGTCTTGTTTAACCGGAAGGGGGCATCACCTCAGGTTTGTTCAGGCTTTTGTGCCTGGGGAGCACTTCTTGACTTGACGCAATCTTCTCCCGCTTGCCCTCATAAAGCCTTTAAGCACATTGGGCCTGCTCCATTTCAGGCTCGAAAGCTTGCACTGCAGGTGAACGTTCCTGGTGAAATGCAAATCATCGATTTGCCTCAGTGAGTCGCAAATACTGCTGTACTTTGACGTGCGCATTTCTTGAGTCACTTCCAAAGGAAGGGCTCGTTAGATGGACCACCCAGAGTTGGGTATGCGCAGCATGCAGTTACGCGTTGCTTTAGATGGATATTCAAACGCCTGTGCCAACCTGAGCCCTTGGGTGCAGGGTCCGAATTAGCATAGTGCTGAGAATCTGATCGAACTACAGCCATACTGCCAAAGTTTGACGAACATCTCGGATTTGCTCGCAGGATTGTTGCTCAAGCTGCAAGATAGTCAAAAAGCCAGTTGCCTTTGCTTTTCTACATCATCCAAGGTCGCATCGAGTCAGCAAGCTAATTTAGGGGAAAAGGCTCCCCATTCACAACCCTGACTGCATGTCTTTGTTTGCTTTTATGGTTCTGGGTGTTTGTGTATGCCTACGTGTGTGTGTGTGTGCGCGCGGCCCTGTGTGTCTTTGTGACTCCTTGTGTGTCTCAATCTTGTGTGTGTGCATGCTTGGCACCGGACGGGCAAGCGACTAAGATTCGTGTCGACTTTTTGTATGTCTTCCCCTTCTGTGTGTTCTTTGGCAGTGTGGTCTCACCATTAGTTCACTGCCCGTCGAACAGCTCCAAGAGCTTGCGTTAAAAAACATGGGCTCGAGCAGGAGAGGCCGAGCGCTCCAGCGGCGCGTGGCATTGGCGAAGCCATGTGGCAAGGATGGTTTTCAGCAGTGAGCATGTGGTGGCACATCCGTCGCATACTCACCAGGCGTGCTGCCGTCAAGTGCGCCAGCGCATCCAGCGGAGCAGCTGTGGCCAGCCGCACCGTATACATTGTCCGGGGTTATGTGGCTTTGCTTTTTTTAGGCATGTGAGAGGCCCTTATGCTTGCAGCCTTTCCCAAAAGGAGCAAATCACCCAGTGGACGTGGGATCCTCTCCGTTTACCCACAAATGCGCAAAGTTCTTGCCATCCAACATAGGGCATGCTGGGGCCAGTTGACATAGATGCACTTCGCCATTTGTCCGCTGCTGACGTTTGTTTTGTGCTTGTGTGTGTGTGTGTGGGCTTGCGGCGCGAGCGCGGATGAGTTGGTACATGGACATGTTCAGGTTTCAACTGTTTTCTTAGTCACGGTTCTTTCATTCACATGGAGGGCAGGACGGCCGGAAAGCGCTGCGGTCTGCCATGGATACTTGGCCCGGGCGAACCCTGGCCGGTGCACAGGAGAAAGTCCTGGATGCTGGCCAATGCAGGTGGGTCCCAAGAGGGAGGGAAGGGACCGACCGCCTTCGCAGACAACATGGGTATGAAAGTGAGGGAACCCACCAACATGTTTCCCTTGAGTGTTTTTTCAAGATCTGAGCTGGTCATAGAACTCAGCAAGCTATGACCTGCCGCATGCTCTGAGTGGCACCTCAGCTTCGGGGGGGTTCGGAGTGGCGCTCAGGGCAGAATCTGAAAGCCTTCCAATTGCAGGGAGCTGATGTTTTGCCGCATCCTGTCCGAGCTGCCAAAGTTGCTGCCAGTGGAGGGCGACTTGCCCGCGGCAGCCTGGCTCATTCTCAAACTGGTGTGGTTTGAGCACCTTGGAAGGGATGACCTATGAGCCTGCACGAGAAGCAAATTTCGCACACTGCCTGAAAAGAGCAAAGTCCGAAAGGAAAGGATGCATTTTGTTCTTTTCGAATCTGCTTGATTTTCAATTGCCCGACGCAGCCTGCATCCCTCCTGCCAACTCGAGAAGATGATCTTCCAATTGCCAACGAGCAGTGATATACGGACATGAAGGAGATCAGTATACATTCTGAATCCCACTTTAGAATTGCTCGTGTGTGTGTGTGTGTGCGCGCGGGCGGGCGGGCGGGCGGGTGGGTGTTTTCTCGCGTGCGTGCGTGCGTGCGTGCATGCGTGTCTGAATGGGTGAATGGGTGAATGTGTGAGTGCCTCTAAGCTTGTCACAGAGCTAGACATTCAAACCTCAAATGCTTATAGCCATAGTTTTTCGGCACGGGGTGCACAAACCTTCCGAGCGCAACACCTGTAGATTCCACTTCAAGTGGTGCCTGAGCCGCTTCTTTTGGTGGCGACGGCTTCCTTTTGCAGTGCCATGCGCTGCTGCACGAGTGAAAAGGACACCGCACACCTTTGGGATCGCCAGCCCCTTGCCCCGGACTGAGGCCCTGCTCCCAGACTTGGGCTGGGTCTTCGAGGACCCCAGCAGCTCAGAGAGCGACGAGCCGCTCCCCGGGAGCCCGCAGACGCTGCACCGGGAGCGGGAGAGCAATGCCTCCTTCCGGCACCTGGGATGAAGTTGGGCTTTGCGCGAGAGCCATGGATAGGGCAAGACCAGGCAGATGGTGTGCATCTGTGCGTGTTGCATTCTAGTATTTTACATCAGCGGCATCATGCTCAAAGCCATCGGCATGTTTGCTGTTTGGGGCTGTGTGAGAAGTTGGCCTGGGGCTTGCCCAGGTCAATAGCAGCCTCTGTGGATGATGACTCGGTTGTGGACCTGCCCGACTGGCTGGAAAGCAAGAAGGAGAGGGGCGAGAGGGTCGGGAAGACTTCATCCGCACAGTCTGTCGGCAGCGTTGGCAGCGGCTTTTCTGACGTGTCACCATCCTGACGAGACTGCAGCAAAGTCTCCAAGAAGACTCTGACAAGCCTGGCTTCAGCTGCCCGATAGGGCTAGGCGCTGGCGCCATCGCTGGCATGATGCCCCTAGCTCCCGGAGCAAAAGGGTGTGGGGCAGAGGCAAGCAGAGGACACAAAGGGCAACCGCTCAAAATCTCGGCCATTTCACGCCGCACACACAGGATCGAGTCCAGCATGTGGCTCAAATCAGGAGTCAGAGGGCTGTGCGAAATGAAGCTCATGGATCTCGCAGTCTCCTTATTTGTCGCTGTTGTGCCTGCACCACAGGGCCACCAACCCATTTGCTGCGGCAACTGCCTTGTTTGTTCAGTGCCTTGCAGCCTTGGATCACACACCGAGCTCAGATAACGGGTGCTCGGCGCTCGCTATGCTCCTTGCATTTGCGCTCGTCCATGCCCACCCGGGTTACTCCCTCATGCATTTTGCGCCATGGCGCGGCAGCGGGCAGAGGCAAAGGCGCTGCGGCGCTGCAGCTTCCCGCCGGGCACCGAGAAACAGATGGCGTCCACTCATTGGTGAAGCGTCCTTTGAGTTTGGGCGCAACTTGCGAATTGGTAAATCCGAGACTCCATCAGCTTCAAGCAAGACTGTGTGGTGGATTGCAGGGTTGAGTGGCAGGGGTGAGAGTGTAGCCGGCTTAGGTCATTCCCTCGCACCCTGGCAGATGTTCCGCCGGCTGGGTCCCAGGGCTGCTCGGAGACCCTCATAGCAGCTGCTCGAGTGGAGGCAATCAGCGTGTGTCCGACGTCCCTGGCAGTGGCCCCAGAGGCTCCAGCAGCGCCAGAGGCATCAGAGGCCCCTGAGGCGCCATCTCTAGCCTCAGAGGAGCCAGCGGCTTCGGAGCAGCCAGCGGCTCCGGAGCAGCCTTCGGCTCCGGAGGAGCCTTCGGCTCCGGAGCTGGCAGCCTCAGAGGAGCCATTGGCCCCAGAGGCTCCAGCAGCTCCAGAGCATCCAGTCCCAGCGCCGCCGCCTAAAGAGGTGGCTGGCGATGTCGCAGTCGATAGCTTGCCGGTCTACACGCAGGGAGTTCCAATCAATGCCTTTGCCTTGGTCAATCCGCCACCCCGTTGGGATGCAGTTGCTGAGTGCAGCTGGGCTGAGAATATTGGAGCAACTGCTCCAGACCTGGTTGCGGGATGTTTGTCTTGGGAGGGGTCAAGATTTGTTCAAGAGTGCCCAAGATGTGCTCCAAGTCTCTATTTTTTGAATTCATGAGTCGCATGCTTTGCCGGAATTTCATGTTCTTTTTGATCTCTTATTGGCATGTTCATGGCAAGTCGTATTGGGGTCGACATGATTGAAAGCGTCCAAAAGTTATTTTGCCACATCCCTCCTTCACACACCAGCTTCAAGCACTCATTTCATCCCATTCCCTAGGCAGGAGCTGGAACACGTAAAGATAGAGATGCCAGATAAACCCATGCAAGGCTTGTTAGCCCTATGCAACGCCGAGTTCCGCAAATTGAGATGCACCAGAAAATAACATGGGTCAAATGTCAAAGCAGTCCTCCTCTACATTCTTCAGTCGTTCCTTTGGACACGAGTTTTTCGTGGTGTGCGCCAGAAAATCCCCCTCAACTTGATGAGGAGACATCAACCCCCTTAAAACCAACAAAAGATAGCTGCTCGGTCACGGGGTTGGGGCCCCGCTAGGATACAAGAGGATAGGATATCAGGTGTGGTTGCTGTGTTTAGTCTTGGCTGGTGAGAATTGCCAGCAACGTCGCTCATGAGTTTCCCTCAGAAATCATGGCTAGAAGTATCGTCCGTTTATTTTGCCTAGCCTTACTCAGAGGTGTGCTCAGGAGAGTCGCACAGAAGTGTCATTTAAACATGTGGCTCAGAAGTTTAATTCAAACCAGTACTTCCTAAAAGTCAGAACAGTGTGTTACACAGGCGTTGTTCAACTTCGTTGCCCGGAAGCGAAACACTTTCAAATGGCGTTGCCTCAAGTTGTCAGCAACCGAGCTCAGACGCATGTAATTGTTTGTTGCATGCCTGATGTTTTCCTTTTTTTTTGAAAAAAAACTGTTCACCCAGTCTTGACAGATTCAACAGTGGAAGAAGCGTTAGAGTTCCAAATGTGCCGTTTTCCTGTACACGTTTTGGCGTGCCTGAGTCTCCAGCTCCAGAATATTGCTTTTTGTGGTGTGAACTTTGCTCGCACGCATGGGTCTGTTGTTGGTTTTGCCCGGGCTCGAATGCTTATACGAGCCCTGCTGTGCCAGTATAGTAATGCACGCGGGCTTCCTTCAGCCCAAGTCTAGGATGCCAACCAAAGTGGCTCCAGGATGGTACTTCAGGAGTGCCCTTTTTCTCGCTCGTGTGAACATGCGCCCCGCGCAAACCGCAAGAGGCTCTTCCGCGCTATTTTGCAGGCTTCGTTGCTTGAACAATCACCGCAGTGAAAGCCACCAATGGGCAGGCCCCCCAAACGGAGAATCGTATCCTTTTGGGCTCCCGCTCCTGAGGCCGGCAGCAGGCGGAGCGGCTCGCGCGCCTGGAGAGCGAGATTCTGGAGGAGTGCCGCCAGCGCCAAGAGCGGCTTTGGCACGCAGAGCTGGCGGAGCCTTGGGCGGCATGGGGCGAGAGGTGGGGCGTGGGCGCGCGGGCTCGCTGTGAGGTGTCATTGCAAGCCCCGGACAGATCAAAAACTGAAGGGGGGTCATCCAGAAAGAGAGCTAATCTGTAGAAGGTCTGTAGAGAGACTGTGTGAGACTCTAGTGGCTGTTTAGGAGCAGCTCCACGAGAAGGAGAAGGATTGGCACCGCGAGAGGGCTGCCTTGGAGTCGCAGGTTGGCGCTGCAGAGCAACGGTTGGTCCAGTCGAGGGTGTCCGGCCAGGAGGCCGAGATGAGGATACAGCAGGACTGCCTCGGTTCCGGGCAAGAGCATGAGATGCGCACTGTTGCCGCGCACGCCCTTTTTGGGAGGCGCCACAAAAGGGAGCCTCACCCAAATTCTTAGAGCCATGACTCCAAAAATCCCTTTGTAGATCCTTTTTGGGGACCCAAAAAGGGGCGACGTCTTGCGCGTGTTCCGGCTCTGGAGTCGCGCGCCGCTGCCGCTTCCCGCGCGCGGCTGAGGACGGGCGGCTGAGGCACCAGGCGCTGCAGGAGCGCTGCAGCGGCCTGGCGGCGGAGCTCTCGGAGCGGCAGGCGGCCTTCCACCGGGAGCGGTGCCACCAGGCGGGCCGACGGCTGAGGGAGGGAGGGGACACAGGCTGAGCGCATGTTGGGCTTTGAAATCCGTAAGGTTGCAGGGGGCCCGGAGGTGAAAAGAAAAGCAATGAAGGAGCGGCGAACCCGAAATCTAAGGTGCCCTTTGATTCTTTTTCAGAGTTTGTGAGAAGAATCACCGGTTCCATTTTCTAAATTAGCTTAAACTGAGGGGGTCCCCTTGTAGGGAAGTGTCAGCCCCTCCTGGGGTTATGGGGTTAAGCCTCCTGTTTTGGCAGAGGAGTTGCAGGGTAAGGGGGTGAAGCTGATGATCCGGCTGATGTTGGCCAATACACATTACCCGGCATGCAACTACACGGGATCACACAGATATAATATGTTTGGCTCTATATTTCATTCGGTTTTCCCTTGACCCTTTGAAATAGACAACGAACCCCCAAACCACATCCCCAAAGTAGGGGGCCATGCAACAGACTCAACGGCGGGCACACAGCATGTTTGAATGGGTGCCATTTTTTAGGGGAATCAAAAGTTTGGGACCTTGCTGTGCCTTTTCCAGCAATCAAGCTACACATGTGACGCATGCGTGTCAGTCATACGTGACAGTAAACCCCAGCATCACAAATTGTCAGATTAGGGGCCGATCTTGTACGGGTCAAGGAGGAACCTTCTGATTGCTCGGCTGGTTGGCGGGGGGTTTGTGTTCGTCCTTGGCCTAGAGGCGTAGGAAAAGACGGGTTTGCAAGCCATACCGACATCGTTCCACGACGGGCTTGCCAGTGACAAACTTATGAATTGCATCTCATGACGCGGCAAAAGCACTATAAGTCAATATTGAAAAGGGAAGCATGCCCCACATCATGAGGAGATGTTGATGGGGGCTATGATGCGTGATGAATCCTACCTGCCACTGCCACGCTCCAGTCCGTGATGACCCTGGTGTTGGTGTTGGTGGTGTCAACTGAATTTGCTGGCGATCTCCCACATGAGTTTGTGCTAAAACCAACCAAGGAGGAGAGCGCTACAAGGCTGCAGGCAGAAATGCTAGCTTTGCAGAATGCGCCTCGGCTGTCATGGTGGCTCTCCAGAGTGTAAAGCCTGAAGTCTTCACATTTCACCATCCAAGAAGCCTCTTTGCTTCGTGACTTTGGTCCCTAGCCCCCAGGGCCCAAAGTGTTTCTTTTCGCTTGGTTGACGCCACAATGGTTTGACTCCTTCAATGGTGGGTTTTGGGGTGACTTCCCCCCCTCTTTGAAAACCACCCTCAAAACGGAGGGGGGGTTCCACACTGCCTCAGGAATTGGAGGCCGCGGGGCTGCAGCAGCGCACCGCGGCGCGGTGTCTGCAGGAGGAGTTGGCCTCGGAGGCCGCCAGCTGCCGCTTCGCCACGGGCGCGGCCTGGCAGCAGCACGAGGCCGCGCAGGCAGATGCGAGAGGCGCCCAGGAGGCGGGAGTGGCGAGCAGCGGAACTGATGGAGGTGACCCCTGGCACCTGAAAGTGCGAATTGCAGAGGTCAAGAGGTGTTTGGGTCACATGCACGCGTTCTCTCCAGAGGTCGCGTGTGTGTTTTCAGCACGCCTTCAGCCTGCATCACGCGCACTGGACGGCACAACCGTGGAAGCAGTGCGAGTCTTTAAAAGCCAGCGAAACACAAACGTGCAAGTTGCTCAGCCTGTGCAGGCGGCCCAGGCGGCCTATGATGGCTCCTGAACCCAAACGTTGAGCGTGCCCTTCCCACTCAATTTTGGCTCAATGCTGTCACTACTTCAGCCATGTTGCTGGCATACGCTAGCTTGCATTGCTTCACTGTGCGCTGGGGCAGACAATGGGCACACTGGGATGAATTTCACTGGGGGCACCGCCCTGCCCCCCCCCATATTTCAGGGCGTTGCTTTCGTTTGTGCGAAGAGGCAACTCTTGGAGGCCCGAATCATCTCCGGGGGAATTGGCCCGGACATGGCAAGGATCTGACATGATTCGCCCAACAAAATAAACAACTTTCATGTCCATCAATGTGGTCCCAGCTAGCTGTACAGGCCCTGGTGGAGCAGCGCATGCAGCTCCGAAGCGCAACGGAGAGGTTCTGGCAGGAGCAGCTGAGTTTGCAGGAGGAGCTGCAGCAGAGTGGGCAGCAGCAGCGCTTGGCAAGGCGATTAGTTGGAGTCAGCTTCGCGAGAAGGGGTTTGGCTCAATTATCCTTTGTTGATCGGGGGTTGGGCTCCTAGGCGTGGCCAAGTGAGGGTATCGATGAAGCCATGAATGAAGGCAGCTCAGAAAGCTTTGTTTGCTTGGCAGAGTAGGAGTAACATACCCCAGATGTTCTCAGTTTGCTTGAAGGCATAATGTTTTTTAGTGCTGTATGAGGCGCACCCTCTTTGCTTGGGTTTTTCGAGGGGGGCATGGCCATGAATTTTGATGGGTGCCAAATGGTGTCGCTCTTTCGCATGGCCCGGGTAGCCTTGGTAGCCCTGGCAGCCCTGGTGCTCCAGGCAGAGGGCGGAGTCGGAGGAGGAGGCCACCACTACAGCACGGGCGGAGCGGCGCGTGGCGCACGAGGAGCTGCGGAGGGCGGCCGCGGATGGGGAGGAGCTCCGGGCCAACGTGGCCGCGCTCACTGCAGAGCTGCGTGTGGCGCAGCAGGAGGCCGCGAGTTTCGTGGGAAGCGTGGGAAGCGCCCGAAGGGCCCGAAGCCCTTGACCCCCTGGGCTTGGTAAGGTTAAGATATGTGATGACTCAGCGGGCTTTTTTCTGGTGGCGATCGTTGTGGAGTTAGTTGAGTGTTGGCGGTGATGTGAGTGGTCATTGTGGTGTCAGTGAGCGTTGCGGTGCATCTCATCTTAAAATGACCACTATGGTTAGGTCTGATGAATTGCGTGACTTGCCGTCTCCAGCCATTTTTTACATAGGGCGCATGTAATCGCCTGACTTGTTTTGCTGAATTCTTAGCACTAGACTTACATGTGCATGAGCAGCATATCCGCATACTTGTGTTGGGTACCTTTCAAGCTTCAGGCAGGTGGTTCAGGGCGTTGCAGCAACGCTGACCGAAGAGTGAGGCGGCCTGGGAGCGCCGGCAGCGGCAGGAGTTGGACCTGACGCTGAAGGAAGCGCACCAGATGCAGTCGATCTTCCTGGACGAGGCCCCCGCCCCTTTTATCGGGAAGAGTTGCTCGGTGGCTTCCCGGCTTCCCCTTTTTATAGGGTTTAGCTGCTTCTGCACACGTGTCAGCGCTGAGCACCTTTTTTTAACGTAACGCGCAGGGGCTCCCCAAAAGGTCAAGGTTCCAAGCTGATCAAGTGGTGAAAGAGCTGTCAAGGAGGGGCATGTCCAAGTTCGCTCGTCACGATGATGGCCGATTGTTGCATGAAAGGTCATGCCTCTATTTGGAGGTCCAACCTGGACTTGCTTGCACGGAGCAAGTTTATGAGAGTGTGCATGAGCCAACTCGGTCGTCCAAGTAGAATGGAACTTCCGAGGACCCGGCCCCAAGTCAGGATGTCAAAAGCGCGAAGCGCTGCCTCGGTGCTCGCACGAGGCGGCGGCAGCTGAGCAAGCTGCTGCGGAGGCAGCAAGCCGCGCGGAGCAAGAGCAGAGGGAGAGGACACGTGACCTACAGGAGTTCAACCGGATCCTGCCGCTGGACGCATTTTGGTGCATGAGTATCCAAGTTAGGGCAACCCTCGATTTGGTGGGCCTTGCTATTAGCAACAGGCGTTCAATTGTGGGTGCTGGCTGCCCTCCCGCCCACTGACGTGAAGCGTGACAGGGGGTCATTTGAAAGACTTTGCTGTTCAAAGGATCCTGTGTCAGTTCACATCTTTCACAGGCAAGCATGGGACATCATAGGGTTGGGGGCCTGCCTGCATGCGTGCATGCGTGCATGCGAGTGCAAACAAGTGCAAGCATGCACGCGTGTCCAGGGGGCGCGCATGTGAGCTTGGGGTACTGGCTGGCAGGCGACAGCACCAGCATCGCCTGGATGAGGAGCAGCGCAGCCACATCTGGGCAGAGCTGCAACTGGCGATGTGTGAAGCTTCAGCCGCGCCAGAAGGTGAGCCGCTCAACTTCTCAGAGCCAGGGCAGATTGAGGCAGCAAGCTAAAGGAGCCAAAGAGCTTCATCAGCAAGCCTTCATATCTCAAAGTGTCAGCCCGATGGCTGTGCCCGCTCGTGAAGTTCCGCAGCAAAGAAGCTCGCACCGCCCCATGTTTGCTTGCACTTGATGCCCCTCCGTTGGCGGGGCCTTTGACCATTTTTGGTTCAAGCGACGGCACAACAATCCGAATGAGTTTGCATGTCCGATGACCACAATGTAAAACCTGTTGGGACCCAAGCAGTGCTGTTTTGGCACCTGACCTTGCCAGGCATTGTCAACGCAGCAGCCAGCGCAAGCTCAGCACGCAAAGTGCCTTGCAGACAAATCAGCATTGGTTGACTGAGGTTACTTAGATTCGCAGAGATGGTTGATGCTTGTGGGGTTTAGCGAGTTTGAGATTTGGAAGCTTGCCTTCTTTGCTGATGCGAAGGCAAGCCGACCATTCAGACAACCAGGCGCTCACGGGCACCTCGCACCTTTGAGAAGCCCAACATTGGTCATTCTCCCACAGCATTTGCGAGTGGTTGATCGATGTCCTTGCCAGTCTGCTTCAACTCCACGAAAGCAAAGACGCCTTATGTTGAAACGGGGATGGCTTGTGATTGATCGCCACGGTTGCTTGAATTATATGGCAAGGCCCTGCAATCTGAGCAAGGGCTGGCAAGAACCATCAGGCAGGCAGAAAATGCGAGCGAGGGCGATATGTGGCACTTAAGGTCTCTCAGCCAACCCCCTGCACCTTGCAATGGGGCTTGTACAGTGGAAGGTGAACACATGTCAAACAACCCGCAGGCGTTCCTGGCTCAAAGGAGTTGAGGGCTAATGTTTTACTGGTGCTGTGCTGAGCAGCCACCGACATCCGCCAAGGCGCGTGCATGGGAGGGAACAGGTCCCACACTGCGCTTGTTCCAACAAGGGCTGTTCGGGGGGTCTCAGGGGGAGTCATTCAGCCTGGGAAGGTTGAGCCGGGCAGCGAAGTCCAGGACGCCAAGGCTGGGAGCTCAAGTCCACAGCTGGAGTTGCAGAAGCTGCAGTGTTTGGGGGGCTAGACTCAGATTCCAACTGGTCGTGGGTATTGCTGAAGGCTGAATACCAAGCCACACCAAGACAACAGAAACCAGTCAAGCGTATGCAAGCTACTGAGGCTGATGAGGATACCTTGCTGGAAGTAGAGGCCGGACGTGCAGCGACCATGGTGCAGCTTCGAGGGCGTGGAAGCTGCAACTGTTTCTTGTTTTGGCCTGGGGTTGCGCACCTCGTGGTGGCGGTGACTGGATTGTTAATTCTGCAGCAACAGACCGGCGCTTGCTTCGGTCTTTCAACTGCACGCCTCAGGAGGACGACGGCAAGGTCTCAGTGACGGCTCTGCCAGTGCTGGAGCAGTCAGTGGAGGAACGTGAGGAGGGGGAGCCGTGTGTCCGTGCGAACCGGTTCAGGTTCAAGATTCCCGCCTGGAAGTCGGCAATGATAGCTTGGTTGGTTGGAGAGGATAAACGGATGGGTCGCCATGTTCCTCTTCGGCAGAAGCACGCGGCAATCGCCACGTTTGGCTTTGAGAGGCCAACATGGAGTGAGCTACATTGCCACCTTTGTTCAGCGCCACTCAAGATGGCAACCCTTGTTTGCCGGCATTGCCAGCTCCACTACTAGTAGGACTTTGATAAATCAGTGTCAATCGATAGCATCGAAAATCGTCCCAGAGTGCCTCGGGGGTGGAGAAACTGGGCATCGCAGGAAGCTGACTTTCTCCCTCGCAAGCTAGAACCAGAGGCGAGGTGGATTTGACAACGCGGGTTCGGCCGAAGGAGTGCAACTGCACTGTAGCGGTAAACAGGGGCAAGAGAATTGAGGCAACCCTGAAATTGAACATGAATAGGAACATACTATGCATATTTGATTTTGAGCGCCTTCAAACTGTTGAAGACAAACACCTCATGACAACCAAAGCCGAGTGAAGACAAACATGCCAAGGACGACACATGTCAGAATGAGAGTTATCATTGCAGCTTGGTTTTTTGGGCTTCAGGTTTGGGGTTGGGCATACCCGATTGCCCCAAGCGTCGTTCTGGGCATTTTGCGTCCTGGGGGGGGGCCAAAATGACGGCGAAGACGCATTTTTTTAAAAAGAAAAAATGATAATTTGGGCCTGAGCGTGTGTCAGCTTTCGGTTGAAGACTTGGTGTTTGTGCCTTTCTTTGGGCGACGTGTTAAACGTCAGCTCGATTCAGGTGTCAGGTTTCTTCAGGTCGGAGACTAATGAAGACTCTGCGAAGACAGAGATGCCGGCAAACGAAACTCGGAGTAGGATTGTTGCTGTAGGGTTTTGGCTTTCAAACAAGATTTGAGATGTGATGTTGTTCATTTCTGCGCAGTGCGCAGTCCGGTTTCAAGAGAGAGAGAGAGAGGGGAGAGAGAGGGAGAGAGAGAGAGAGAGAGAGAGAGAGGGAGGGAGGGAGGGAGAGGGAGGGAGGGAGAGGGAGGGAGGGAGGGAGGGAGGGGAGGGAAGGGGAGGGAAGGGGATGGAGGGAGAGGGGAGCACGGAGGGAGAGTGGAGGGAGGGAGAGGGGGTGTTATGTCTATGTGTTGTGTTTGCGTGATTGCTCCCCTGAAGCAAGTAATGCTTGCAGCAGCTGCGGCGTATTCCCAAGTCGTCGTATCCAAACTCTCACCCCCTTATAAAAGCAAATGTGTCGGTGTTGTAGGTGCCCGAGTGATCCTCCTTCTAGAGGCCAGATGGTCAATGCAATGGGTCCCATGTTACAGCCAGGAAGGCTGTTGCAGCCGCAGGGGTCAGGGAAGAAATCTCGCGCCATCGTTTGTTTCAGCAGCCGGGAGCAAATGGATCGGACACTTCTTTCTCGCCACAGAAGAATCTGGTCCGAATGACCCTTCTGATTTCCAGCTCCCGATGTCGAGGCTCCAAGGGTAACCTTGTATATCCCAACACTGGAGGGCAAGCCCTTCGAAGTCTCTAGATGAACTAGGATTGTGTGTGGCTCATGTCTCCGGTCAGGCAACTTTTTTCCTTAAGGAATGAGAGTTTTTATAGGGAGACGGGCATGGGCCGCCAGGGTGCTTCGAGGGTGGGCAGCAAGGAGGTCAGCTTCGAAGCCCGCGAGCCCAAGGATCGGAGCAGCGCTTCGGGGGGCTGAAAGCGGATGCGGGACTTGTCCAGGCCCGATACCAAAGCTGGCGGGATTTTGTGAAGTCGCTGGTGAAGTCAAGTTGGCATAAGTAGCCAGCCAGTTAGCGAATTAGCTGGTAAAATAGCTGGTTAGCTTGGCTAGCTCAAGCTAGCCAGTTGGATGGCTAGTTGGATAGCTAGCTAGCTTGGGTAGTTAGCTCAGTTAGGTAGTTAGTTTCGTGGCTGCTCAATTTGTTAGCTACAATTAGCTGTCTAGTTAGCTCGTGAGCTAGTTCACTTTTTAGATAGTTTGCGAGGTGGCCGACTGCTGCTTATTTATGGTTGTCTCATCGTGTAGCTAGCCGATGAACAACGCAGAGAGCTGAATAACGGGGCCACATGTATTAGATTATTTCGCTCGCAAACCCTCTGTTCACTTTCGGGGGTCGACCTTTAGAAACCATCGCTTGAAGCTCTTTTGCTAGAAATGCGCCGAACACATGGCCCTGTGCATGGATTCGGCGCTTCCGCCTGTGCACAATCCACCTCGACTGCGATGCCTGGCGGAGGCAATCACGGAGCGCGTTGCGAGCGGTTTCGCAGTGCATTCGGAACATACGGGACCATTGCACGGCCGCCCAAAGGAAGTTTAGCAAGGAACTCCCCCAGTGCTGGAAATACATTGTGCTATGCAGAATGAAGGCAAGAAACAGCCGGAAACCATGGCAGCTGGTGGTACTGTTCCAGCAGCGCTCCAAGACCGTTCCGAACGCGCACCCTGACCGCCTCCGTCAGGCACCGCGAACGTAGGTGGCTCGTGCACATGGTATTCCTCATTTATCGTCTTGTCCATTTTTCCAACTTAGCTTGTTTCACGGCCAAGCTCGCCTAGTTCAAGTATCAAACTTCTGTTGGTTGGATGTGCAGCGAATGGTTTGGAAGGTGTTCATGGTTTGCACCGTTGCTTTGATCCAACCGTTCAGTATCGTGGGGCATGAAAGGGAGATGCGATTTCCAAGGCCGCGCTACAGGTTGCCAGTCACCTCGCAAGCCATGGGAGTCGGATCTCAGAGCTCCGCACGGCGCGCCAGGAACTTCCTAAGTCAGAGGGCACGTTCGTGGAGGGCGCGCCTGCGCAGCAAGCAACGGAGGAGCAACGCCAGGCGAGTCGCGGAGTGCGGCCGGACTGGGAGGGCGCGAAGTGGCTGGCCAGGCCTTCAAGCGCGCCATCGGTAGGCGGACGAGGACGGTGTCGGGCCAGCTGACATGGGCAATGGGCGTTTGAAGTGCCTGGAGTTGTGCACCCCGTGGCATTTGTGTTGGATAGTTGGTTTAAGAGCAAGAAGGTTTTTAAGACATATTTTGCTTCGTTGCTGTGTTGGCTGGGGTTCTATGGCCCAATGATAGCTTGTACCTTAAAATGATCTATGATCTATTTGTGCTCTTGGCTTACTGCTGATGCTGTGAATCCTTGAGTGGTTGGCGGCGTGGCTCCCGGTGCAGGCTGTCGCTCGATGCGGAACACTCCAGATGGCGGCTGTCCAAAGATGAGATCATCATGAAGAAACAGTCCTTCAGCTAGAGCTGCAGAGGGGTTGAGTCCAGCTTGGCCCAAAGCCCAATGAAAGTATTTGTGCGATCCCTTGGTAAGTTGGTGGAGTGCTGATACGATGCTTGATCTTTCACAGCTGGGGGAGTTAAGCGTGTTAGACCATGTTATGCGAGCACTAGAGCCAAAGTGAGGGATTCGTCAGGCTCAGCTACACCTTGAAGAGCACGCTCTATTTGGCTGCCTGGAAGGGCACTGAGGCCGGCAGGCTTGACGGCCCACGCAGTGTCAAAGATCCCTAGCAAAAAAGCACAAAGCACACACACACACGTGTTTTACGAATGCTAGAACAGAGCATGTGCTCATTCAAACACTGGATAATCGCAGCCGGGCAGAAGCCCAACGCGAGCCCAGGTGGTGATGAAGTGCGCCGGAAGCTCAACCAGCTCTACACTAGGGAGCATAGGAATTTAGGTCATCGATCAGAAGCCGTTTGGTAGTAATCGGCTGCCAGGGACAGTTGCAGTGGCACTCTAGGCCCTAAGGAGGCATTGCATGACAAGTGAACCGAATGCTGCCCTCGAGGTCCAAATCCAGGAGGAGGTTGGAGCAAGGCCTGCGGGTTGTACTTGATATATGTGCGATATGCATTGAGGGAAGGTGCTGTGGAAGAACGGCCCACTAAAATATGCATGTCGCGACCAGCCTAGTTGAATGACATGGGTTGAACCAAATCTGTGTCGCACGTTGCCCATGCCAGGGAGCCGAGCAAGCAGCAAGTGCACAGCGTTGCTTCGCTGCACAGAGCGACATTGTTTAAGCGACGGTGTTCGGCGTGGCTCAGCTGAAAGCCCGCGACGGGTGGCAACTGAGGCCAGCTCGGATCCCACCGCCTCACGGCCGGTCCAGGGCAACGAGGTGAATGAGGCAGCTCATTCGTGACAGTCACCCTCGCTCAGTGGTGTGGTCAAACCTCTTGCGGTTCTAGCATTGGTGGGCGCACATCATTTTGGGCATGCTGGACTGGTGTTGCGTGGCACGTGCATGTCACATCATGTTGGGACAATTTGGAACAGTTAATGTTGCTTACAAAAAGTTCGGTTGAATCAGGCACTGCACAAAAGCAGGAACTAGACATACAAACACTTTCTGCGGCCTTGAGGGGTTCCTTGAAGAGCCCGTAGAAAGCATGTAATTTTGGAGTTTGGGTTGAGGGCTGTCATGCCCGTGTTTGCACTACATCAAGAACTTTCAGACAAGGCCGACCCATGCCCTCGCACCGAAGCTTGTTGTTTACTACATCTTAAATACAGTGGTTGTGTGCCAGGATCTTCTGGAGGAGCTTCTACACGAGATTGAGCTGTTGTCGTCCCTGCGGCACCCAGATTTGGTGCTGCACCTCGGCAACTGCAAAGCTATCATAGGGAGCGCCGACCGCCATTTTTTTGTGCTGGCCCCGCCGTCAGCATTGTTGGTCACAGCCAGGTTCATCGGGGCATGCCTGGACAAGGACGCTGAGGGGGCAGCGCTTGCTTGACTTGAAACATGGTTGAGTGTGGTTCCGATGTGGCTTTCGGTGTGTTTCGCACTTGGTCTTGAAAGTGCTGCAAGATCCAGAGTGCAGTTTCAGAGGACGCTCCAGTGATGTGTATCACCGAGTATATGCCCGGTGGCGATCTGGAGCGCTACTACATGGTGGGGGTCTGAGGAGGTTGTTTGCAGCCTTAGCGTTTTCAAATTGGGCCTAGCCGCCTGGTTGCACAGATGCCACGTGCTGAGGCGAGGAGAAATGAGCACCAGACCGACCGTTGGAGACCCCCGCTGACAAGAATCCTGGACTGGTGCTCTGCACCTTGGCAATGCCGGAAATGCCGGCATCCGGAGTCAGCCTAGAAAATCGAGAGTCGATATGAACATGGGCTTCAATGTTGGCCTGGTTCTTTCTGCGGGTGCAAGAGCTGAAGCTAGGCAGACCGCTTGCTGCCTGAGGCAGTTGCCAGAGCACTGAGCTTTTTGCACTCCCGTGACTTGGCAAGCGGGTTGGGTATGCGTCCTTTGCCATGCGGCCACAGCCCGGCACTCGTTTCAACCATTTGCCCCTCACAGACAAACACTGTTTTTTTTAGCAGCAAGACGCCCCAGCAGGTCTCAACCAGCATCAATGGCACTAAAGCGGCAAGCTTTGCTTTGGCCAATGTTTATCCGCTTGGCCCTTTCTGCGGCTTAGTAATACGGTTTCAACCCGCGAAAGGGGGTCAACAACCAGCCCGACACAAATTGCAGGTTTTGGGGATCCAAGGCTCAGAGCCCATCGTGCACCGAGATTTGAAGCCATTGAATTTGCTGCTGTGCCTTGGTGGGCGCGATGGTGTGTGGCTACTTGTGGGTGGTCACTGGAGCATGAAGCGTGTGGCAATCGTGCCGGCATGGGCAGTGAAGCGGCACGGCAGCTCCGGATCTTCAGTCATGTATCCACCAGAGTAAGGACGAAGCACTTGGAAGTGAAGGTTGCAGATCTGGGCATCAGCAAGATGATGAGCCTTGGCATGTCACGTTAATGCGGCCTTCGCCGTGGCAAGCACATTGCGCACAAGATTGTCAGTCAGAGCTATGCCGAGAGTTCTGGGCATTGGCATGTGATGCGCGGCTTGTTCTGTGACATGTGGCAAGGGCGGCAGTGGCCAGTGATCAGTACAACATGACTGGTGGAGTTGGCAGCTGGCTTTACATGGCGCCCGAGGTTGTCAGGCGACCCGTTTGCATAGAATGGGCATCCCATCACGCCTTGATTTGGCTCTGCATGCGTTGCGACAAGTCAGACTGGGTTTTCTGGGTGTCCGGCAAAAGAAAGCAGGTTGCACACACGACGTGTTGCGTTGCATCAGCGCGTTGCCAGTAGCATGATAGCTGCCAACTGAGGCACAAGCACTACAATGAGCCTTGTCAATTGAGAGCGATTGAGCGAATTACCCTGTATTCCTTGCTTCTGGATGTGGGTTCGAATCATCAGGAGAAGGTTGACATCTATGCTTTCGCCTTGATCATGTGCCGGGCTTGGCTTCCCATGAACGTCCAAGGAGTTTTTGGCTGTGTAAACTACCCTGTATGCCACTTGTGGACTGCAACGCCGGTTGAAATTCTGCTCGGCCAGCACTGAGGTATTTCTTGAGCGCTGGCAGGGCACCATTCCACCAGATTGGTAAAGATCCTGAACTTGATCCTCGGTCGAACGTGTTCAGCTACATTGCTACATCAGCTTGCATGCGTTGGGTTGCTTTTTTAGTGAAGCCACGGAAAGGCGGGCAATGTTCAAGAAAATTGTTTTTTTGAGCTGCTGTAGGCCTTGATTGCGGTCAATTCTTAAGCCTTCCGACGTTCGATGATCCGACATGGGGCTCTGAAACACAGCCTTTGGACATGGTGGCAACCCTTGAACAGCTCAGGTACTGAAAGAGTACGTCAAGGGCAATGAACCAAGGCTGTCATTGTGAGCGACAGCGGTCACTGGAGATACCAAAGCGCGTTCTCACACACAGACACACACGCTTTGTTTGTACGAAGCGCCCATTGAGGAGCCATATGGGAAAGCCTGTGAAGAAGAACAACAGCATGCATTGACTGTGTCACGAATTGGGGCACGACCCACCCAGCCTTCCCCGCAGGCCTACCGCATCAGACTGTCATTTGCAGCTTCGTCCGGTTATGATCCAAGCGTGGAATGCCGGGGGCCAAGAGCACACACACACAGCCCACAAGCGTGTGCCAAGTTCTAAAAATCCGCATTTGTGCAAGAGTGAAAATCGCTTTGCCAGCTGTGGTAACTTTGTTGAATCATTGACAAATTAGCCATGTGGATTTGGGATGTGTCTTTCAAAGAGATCTATTGAAGACAAGTTACCGTTGCGAAAACTTATCCTCACAAAGTGTTGCTTGAAACATTTAGAGGTCTATTTGATGGAATCTGTTTGATGTTGCTGCTTTTTGCTTCATCAACACCTATCGAACACGGCCCGTGCAACAAATGAGGGCTTTTTTGTTGGATGAAGGCCCACATCCTCGTGACAACATCTTTACATGTCCCGTAGGCGTTTGACTGACAGGGCCACAACTGCGTAGGCGTGCGAAGGCATTTCGCGGAGGCTCCTGTTGCGAAGCTTCGCGTAGGCAGTCGCGTAGGCAGCCGTTTATGCATGGTTGCGCGACCGTTTGTGCGCGGCAGTTTGGGGCAAGCTGTGGGCAGCTTTTCGCCAGCTGTTTGCAGCATGCAGTTTCTGGCGGATGAGAAGGTCCGCTTGTCCGGCAGCGAAGCTGGCAACTGCTAGCGGGCCCGTCGTGCTATTGGGTAAAAGCATGTCCAGAAGCTCCGAAGAAAAGAACGAGCGGTTTCCGCGCAGGCGCCGCGTAGGCGCCGCGTAGGCAGGCTTCGCGCAGGCATTCCAAAGCCTGACGGGAGGCCTTTCGTAGGTGCGCCTCCGATGTACGCCTCTGGCAGCCATACAGGCAAACACTCGGTCAGACTACACTGCAGCCGATGGCGCCGACTTCAAGCTCGTGATCATCGCGAGCTTTTGCCGTGCTCCCGCTCAAGCGCGGTAACAGCAAGCCTCTCCGTAGCCGAGTGTAAAAAGTGCGTTGAGTTCCTCGCTGTCGCGTAGGCGGCGTAGGCAGGTATCTAGCGAACTCGGTCTCGCGTAGGCATTCTTGTGAGACACTTGCATTTCGCGTAGGCGTGGCGTAGGCGTCGCGTAAGCAAATAGAAAAGGAGAAGTGTTTAAATGAAAAGCAGAGGAAAAGGCAGTGCGCGTGATTGCTCAATCAGAAATCGTGTATTGTGATGATGCGCAATGTGAACTGTGCACAAGGCGGTCCTGAAAGGTGGCAGATTGTTACACGGCTGTTGCGCAATTTGCAAAGAATGCACGCGAGCAAACCCTAGACACTGGCAACTGCTAGTTTTGGCAGGCCGACGCCAGCGAGCGGCCATCTGCCCAAGAGATGGTTGACATCCTGAGAGAGGCACGTGCAAGAGTGAATAAGTGTGAGAAGCAGTGGCGCCACAACTGGATGCGTAGAGCGTGATCAACAGTGTGAATGTGTTTTGGGATGCGTTTAGAAGCATGGACAACATTGTGTGGGCACTTGTCAGTGTCAGACTCCACAGGCATCCTTTGACCGACCTGGGAAGGGCGCATGTTTGCCTGGTCCACCAAGAGAACTGCTCCACACATGTCGCGGGATGGCAACCTGGGTAATCGAAGTATACATCGCCTGGGATCTTGGCATTGTGTGCATGGTTTTGGGCAGGCTTTTGATGCGCTGTTTGGCACCATGAAGGATATGCTGGTAGCTTTAGAACATCCAACTAGCGCGAGCAAGCTGAAACCCACACAAAGGGCACGCCCACGTGCAGGTGAGCGACTCGTACGTCCCACCCTCGTGCTTGTGCGCAAGAGTATGAACAAGGAAGTGGGCGCACATCGCTACCAGCTTCGCCCAGCCAGAAACTGCGCAAAGCATCAATCACGAAACCTGCTGCCGGTCGTGTTGGTGGCGTCTCAAGGATTGCTTTTTGTAAAAGACTGACTCGCCTTGGCGGTCCGCGGGCCCGAAGGGACATGGCGCCGGGTTTCAAAGAAATCTCCGGCGCTCCCGTGAAACCCAAAAAGTCGAGCAGCGGCATTGCCCGGATTCGTTCAAACGGAAGGGCAGCCATCTTTGTTCATTGGGACGGCCACGTCGTTTTCCACTTCCGTAGTCCTTAGTCGCCATTCTGGCAGCTATATTTATCTCCTGCCAAGGGTAGCAAAAGCGATCCGTTGAAGCAGGATCCCAAAGGACAGCATCAAAGCTCATGCAAAGGCTTTTTGCCAAGCAGCTTTTCCATTGAAGCTTTCCTTTGAGCTGGAAGTGTTGCAGCGACGGCTTTTGAAGTCCGTTTTCTTGCAAAAATTGACAAGTACCCATTTGCGCCATGGTCCAGAGTTCTTGCTTTTGAAGAGGAATCTGCCAAACATGTTCAAAGGTACATTGAATTTGCATTGGCAATGAGCAGAACTGGACATGGCACATGTGGGCCTTGCCAAATTGTGTTAAAACATGCCTGCTTTGCCGTGTCAAGCATGTCATGCAGAAAGGCTGTTGGGAGCGCTCACTTGCCGGAAATCGCGCGAAATATTGGTGGGCAATATCAAAATAGATAATGATCATTGTATAAAAATATTACAATAAACAAGTTTCGACTATTCCTGTATCAACGTGCTTAGATTATTATATATAAAGTAGTATTATTTGAAAAAACAACTTAAATATATGTTTAAAATCAATTATTATTATTGTTGTTAATATTCTCCTATAAACCGGTGCAGCCTCGGGGTCGCATTTCTGGTGCACCGCAGAGCTGTTGCAACGGTGCTCCGGCTTAATCATGGTGCTTGCGTCGAGCGGGTATGTCCGTCCCGGTCTTTTCTCCGCGGCACAAGCGCGGCCCGGAAGTCCCCGAAATTTTGTCGAAATTTCGGGGGTTCTTCAGATCTTCGCTTGGAGTTCCCGCGGCATAACCTGGCCAATTTTTCCCGGCTTTTGGGTCGCTTCCAACGACCCAGAGGGAAAGAGGGAAAGAGGGAAAGAGGGAAACAGGGAAAGAGGGAAAGAGGGAAAAAGGGAAAGAGGGAAAGAGGGAAGAGGAATAGAGGGATAGAGGGAAAGAGGGAAAGAGGGAAAGAGGGAAAGAGGGAAAGAGGGAAAGAGGGAAAGAGGGAAAGGGGGCAAAGCACGAAATGTTCTAGAAATTTAGACCCGGATAGGTCCCAAGATTTCTCGAAAGTTTGACCCGTTAATTTGTTTCGGAAAGCCGCCAAAATCTGAAGAAACTTGCGGGGGTAACGTCTGGAGTTCTCTCTCTCTTTCTCTTCTCTTTCTCTCTCTCTCTCTCTTTTTCTCCTCTCTCTTTCTGTCTTCTCTTCTCTTCTCTTCTCGTCTTTTCTCTTCTCTTCTCTTCTCTTTCTCTCTCTCTCTCTCTCTCTCTGTCTCTCTGTCTCTCTGTCTCCCTTTCTCTTTCTCCGTCTGTCTCTCTCTTTCTCTGTCTCTCTCTCTCTCTCTCTGTCTCTCTCTCTCTCTGTCTCTCTCTCTCTCTGTCTCTCTCTCTCTCTCTCTCTTTCACTCTCTTTCTCCTTTTTGTGTCTCTCTTTCTTTTTTTCCTCTTTTCTTTCTTTCTCTCTCTGCCTCTCTTTCGCTCTCTCGCTCTCTCTGTCTCTCTCTCTCTCTCTCTCCTCTTTCTCTCTTCTCTTTCTCCTCTCTCTCTTCTCTCTCTTTTCTCTCTCTCTCTCTCTTTCTTTCTCTTTCTCTCTCTCTCTGTTTTTCTCTCTCTCTCTCTCTCACTCTCTCCTCTTGTTCTCTCCTCTTTCTCTTCTCTCTCTCCTTTTTCTCTCCTCTCTCTTCTCTTTCTCCTCTCTCTCTCTCTCTTTCTCTCTTTTTCTCTCTCTCTCTTTCTCTCTTTCTCTTTCTCTTTCTCTTTCTTTCTTTTTTTATTTCTCTTTGTGCGCGTTGGTTTCTGTTTCGCTTTCGCTTCTCTCTCTCTCTCTCTTTCTCTTTCTCGATCTATGTCTCCTTCTATCTCTTTCTCTCCATTCTCTCTCTCTTTCTCTTCTCTCTCCTTTCTATCTCCTCTCTTTTTTCCTCTCTCTTTCTCTCTCCTTTTCTCTTTTGTTACTTTTTTCCTTTTCTCTTTCTCTTTGTGTCTGATGATTTTTTTGTTTGTTTATTGTGTGCTTCTCTATTTTTCTTTTGATTTGTTTCTTTATTTCTTCTCTCTTTATTCCTCTATCTCTTGTATTTGTTCTTTCTTTCGTTCTTTCTCTTCCTTTTTTGTTTTATAGATTTTATTCGTTGTTTCTCTCTTTTCTCTTCTTGTATTTTTAAAATTATTTATTGTATTTTGTGAACATGGTTTTGGTAGTGTGGAAAGAGAAATAGATTTTCTAGAAAGAGGAAGATTAATAAAAATTTTGTTATGATATTGAAAATTGATTAATATAGATATATTATTATTTTTGGTAGTATATTAGATTGCTTATGTATGGAATTTGGCTTTATGATGTTTATTGTATTTGGATGAAATAACTTAACTATTTTTTGATATTATATTATCAAAGGAAGTTTAGAAGGAACTTCCGTGTTACGAGAACTCAATGAAAGCTAGCTCTCAGAGGGATCAGAGAGAAGTCAAGAGAAGAATATAAGCACGCGCAAGAAAATAAATGTGTGCGCGCGTGTGGCGGGGGATAGAAATCGTGAAAAAGTGTGACCCTCTACGTGAGTTAAAGTTGCCGGAGAGCCGAAATCTAGCGTGCTCGGAACGGCTCCGGACGGGTGCGGACGGGTGCGGACGCCAGGCCCATTGGCACGGCAACGCGAAGGTTTTGCAGGGTTTGAATTGCGTGGCAGGTGCAGCAGATTTCGTGGCAGGCGCAGCACCTTCGCAAGGTCAAGTTTCCCCAAGGATTGAACTGCGTGGCCGGCGTAGCACTTTCGCAAGGTGAGGTGCAGATTTCGTGGCAGGCGTGGCAGACGCAGCACGTTCGTAAACATTTCGTGGCAAGCGCAGCACATTCGCCAGGTGATACAGATTTTGTGGCAGGCGCAGCACGTTCGCAAAGTCAAGTGCAGATTGTGTGGCAGGCGCAGCACTTTCACAAGGTCAAGTGCAGATTTCGTGGCAGGCGCAGCACTTTCGCAAGGTCAAGTACAGATTTCGTGGCAGGGGCAGCACTTTCGCAAGGTCAAGTACAGATTTCGTGGCAGGCGCAGCACTTTGCAAGGTTAGGCACAGATAGAGAGATAGAAAGATAGATAGACAAATAGATAGATAGACAAAAGAGAGAAAAGACTGATAGATAGGTAAACAGAGATAGATAGATTGGTAGGTAGATAGATAAAAAGGGAGATAGGCACATACATAGATAGATAGGTAGAGAGATAGATAGATAGATAGCTAGATAAAAAAAGAGGTAGATAGGAAAAAAAGGGATGGCTGGATAGATGGATAGACCGATAATTACATAAAGAGATAGATACAGAGATAGATAGATAAAGAGTTAGATAGCGAGATAGATAGACAGATAGAAAGAGAGATAGATAGATAGATAAGAGAGAGAGAAAGAGAGAGAGATATAGATGGATAGATAGAAAGAGAGATCGATAGATAAATAGATAGCTGGAGAGAGAGGTAGGCAAATGGATAGATACATAGAAAGATAGATAGACAGATAGATAAAAGAGAGAAAGATAGATAGATAGATAGATAGATAGATAAAGAGAGAGAGAGATAGATAGACAGATAGATACAGAGAGAGATAGATTGATAGATAGATAGAGTGACAGATAGATAGATAGACAAAAGGAGAGAAAGATAGTCAGATAGATAGATTGATTGACAGATAGATAGATCAAGAGAGAGAGAGATAGATAGATAGATAGATAGAGAGAGAGAGATAGATGGATAGATAGATAGCCAGACAGACGCACAGATACATAGAGAGATAGGTAGATAGATAAAAGGGAGATGGATAGATAGGTAGATACATCGATAAAAAGAGCGAAAGAAAGAAATCAAGGTAGATAGATAAAAATAGAGAGATAGATAAAACGAGAGAAAGAAGGATAGGTAGATAGACAGATAGATAGATGGATAGATAGATAAATAGAAGGCAGACAGTTAGATAGATAGATAGATAGGTAGAAAGATAGATAGAAAACTAGATGGATAAAAAGACAGGCAAATAGATAGATCAAAGAGAGATCGATAGATATAAAGATCGATAGATTGACAGAGAGATGGATAGAAATATAGAGAGAGATATATATACATGTATAGATAGACAAATAGATAGATCAAAGGGTAGATAGATAGATAGAGAGACGCAGAGAGGGAGCATAGATAGACAAATAGACAAAGAAAGATATAGATAGATAGTTAGAGCAGATACGTAGAATGAGAGAAAGGAGTGTGACCCTCAACGTGATTTCGCGTTGCCGGAGAGCCGAAATCTAGCTTGTTCGGCGTCTGGTCGGAGCGCGGACGGGTGCGGACGCCGGGCCCATTGGCACGGCAACGCGAAGGTTTCGCAAGGATTGAATTGCGTGGCAGGCGCAGCACTTTCGCAAGGTCAGGTCCAGATTTCGTGGCAGGCGCTGCACTTTCGCAAGGTCAAGTGCAGATTTCGTGGCAGGCGCATCACTTTCGCAAGGTCAAGTGCAGATTTCGTGGCAGGGGCAGCGTTTTCGCAAGGTCAAGTACACATTTTGTGGTAGGAGCAACATTTTCGCAAGGTCAAGTACAGATGTCGTGGCAGGGGCAACATGTTTGCAAGGTCAAGTACAGATTTCGTGGCAGGGGGCAGCATGTTCGCAAGGTGAAGTGCAGATTTCGTGGCACGGGCAGCACTTTCGCAAGGTCAAGTGCAGATTGCGTGGCAGGCGCAGCACTTTCGCAAGGTCAAGTACAGATTTTGTGGCAAGCGCAGCACTTTCGCAACGTCAAGTACATATTTTGTGGCAGGCGCAGCACTTTCGCAAGGTCAAATACAGATTTCGTTCGTAAGGTACACCTAGATAGATAGATAGGGACAGATGGACAAGAAGGAGATAGATAGATAGATAGACAGATAGATGCACACATAGAGAGGGGAAAAGAGAGAAAGAGAGAGAGAGAGAGGAAAAGAGAGAAAGAGAGAGAGATAGAGATAGGTAGATAGATAGATGAAAAGGGATATGGATAGAGAAAAGATAGATAGACAGACAGATAGATAGATAAAGAGATAGATAGATAGATATATAGAAAGAGAGATAGAGATAGACAGACAGGTAGATAGAAGATAGATAGATCAAGAGATAGACAGATAGATGTATAGATAGATAGATAGTGAGATAGATAGATAGATCGAGAAAAGATAGATAGGAAGACAGATAGATATATATAGAGAGATAGATAGA